CTGGCCCTCCTCGAGTGGACCCGCCGCGGCCGGCCGCGCCTGCAGGGTGGAGGGTCGGGGAGGGCCTCAGGCCAGCCCGGCGCGGTTCTGGGCCGTTAGAATGCGGGCCGTGTCTCCACGCTGCGCCCACTTAGCAGTCACACCCAGCCAGCCCTGGTCCCACCGCTGTCCAGTCGGGAGTTTGCAGGACAGGACCCGCAGCGTCCCCAAGACTGTGGCCCTGGTGGCGCCGCGGAAGGCAGCCCGGGGTCAGCCCGAGAACATGCCACCCTTGGGTCGGGGCTGCTTTGTCCTCGTTGCTGGTAGGAGCCGTCACATAGCGGTCCTGTGACTAGGTCTGGACCCTGTCCCGTCCTCACGATCTCTGATGGACTCCTTGCTGCGGTCCCTGTGTCAGCCCGGTTGAGGGTCTTCCCCTCCCTCACCGACCTCGGAATAGCCGCTCCTTGCAGCATGTCCAGAGTACAGGAGAGGAGGCGTCATCTCCTGTGATGCTGCCGTGTAGGGAGGCCATAGCTGCAGCCAGCTTGGTGGTGATGGGATTTTGGGGGAGTATCTTAGACATATTTCTCCAGACCTATTCAGTCTGTACACCGAGTAAATCGGTGGACTCTATAAAGAAGAATGTAGCATCAGGGCCAGAAGGAGACTCATCGGCAACCTATGTTATGTACATGACACAACCTTGCTTGTAGAAAGTAAAGATTTAAAGCACTTGCTGCAGAAGATCAAAGACTACAGCTTTCAATATAAGTTAACATCATCAACATCAAGAAAACAGAAATACCACTGGACTAATAAGCAACATCGTGATAGATGGGGAAAAGATTGAAGTTGTCAGCAATTTCATTTTAATTCACAGCTGACACCCAAGGAAGCAGCAGTCAAGAAATTAAAAAAGGATGAATGTACGAAACAGCATAAATGAGAGGCTGTATAAAACAAAATGTACATAAGTGAGAGAAAAATGAAAAAATGTGTTGGGAAAATCTTCTGTCGAAAACTCACCAAAGTCCTGAAGAGCAAGCATGTCAGTTTAAAGACTAAGGTGCCTCTCATTCAAACTATGGTGTTTTTAGTTACGTGTTATGTTTCTGAAAGATAGGCGATAAATACAGATATCAGGAGAGTGAATGCTTTTGACTTGTAGTGTTAGAATACGGAATGTCCTATGGACTTCAAGAGAACAGCCTGCACTGTCTTGAAGGTGATGCGGCCAGGGTGCTCCTTAGAGGCAAGAGTGGTGAAACGTTATCTCTCATACTTGGAGTGTATTGTCAGGAGAGGTCAGCCCGTGGGAAAGGTGGACAGGCAGAGGAAGACTTTCAGAAAGATGAACTGACACAGTGACTGCAGCTCTGGGCTCCAGCACGTCAGAGACGGGCAGGAAGGGGCAGAGTGCAGGTCTGTTAGTGACTCGAGGCACCTCATGTCTTTCTCAGGATCAGTGGGCTCAAGCCATCAGCCTTTGGTTTTGATTACCAGTGCCCACTCAGGCCCCTTCCCCACCCTCCTCCTTTCTCCCTCTGCTGACAGCCACCATCAGCGTCTCCACGCTGCTGCCTATCATGGATTTTCCATTCAAAAGTGTTGGACTGTTCGTGGAAGGGCCGACAGTTCCAGTGCACCAACCACACTCAGGGAGAGACATGAGCTGTCTTCTCTGGGAAAGATTCCTCTCCCTGGAACCCCTGTGTTAGGTCGCTGTGAGTCAGAACCAGACTGCCACTGCACTCCATGGGAGCAGCGTCTCTGACTAGTGCCACGCCGTGCGTGTTCACAACACATTTTGTAATCTGTTGGTCACCAGTATCCACATGTGACTGTTATTAACAGGGTAGTGGACTGTTAGGTACAGACATGTTCTCGTGTCTCTGGTGTACACAGAGGAGTGGACTTACTGGTAAGGAAAGGTCCAGCACTCTGGATCCAGTGACTGGGAGGTTCAGACCATGCTAGGGAGAAGAATTTGGAATTGGTCTGTAAGTTACATCCTGAACGCCCATGGAACAGTTCTACTCTGATCTCAGATGAGAACCCTTCGTGGGTTTGACTCTTGAGCCGGGAAGGAGGCTACCACCTTCCCAGGAGCAGAGAGGGGCTTGAAGAACGTATATTCAAGGGAAGAGGAGCACATCCAGTTGCTGTTCCCAGCAATGTTGGGCCCCATGACAAACCCCAGTCCTGAAAGCTGCCACGGCCTGTGCAAGCATGTCCACTTGTGATCTCCAGTGGTGATGGAGCACGCTTTCAGGCTTGTGAGTCACACTGTAAGACACAGCCTCCTCCCAGACCCTGACCTGAGGCCCTGGCTGCCAGTCCTGCTAGAGTGCTTGCCTGTTCACTGACCACTGCTGGGGTGAAACCCAGGCATGGAGGCAGTGTTAGTGCAGCCACCCAGCCCAGGCCAGCAGCCTTCAGTCTCCCCAAGGTCCAGCTCTATCCCTTGGTGGACATCGCCTGCTGAAGTTCTGTGATGTGAAGGGCATGTGGCGATGCTCAGGGCTCAGAGCTCTGCCCGAACAAGTCTTGGTGTAGGTGCCTTGTGAGTGTTCAGGTGGTGAAAAACAAGGCCTACTCACCCCGCTCACAGTTACCTGGCCCCTGCCATCTGCACGGACACACCTGTTTGTCCTGTCATGTTATTGCAGTAAATCATTGACGGGAAGCTTGAAGCTTTGAAGTCCGGGAGGCCGTGTCAGCACAGACAAGAAGGCCTGGCTCCCCCATCTCATGGTCCTGCCTTTATGTTCATAACTCAAACCCTGTGTCGCTGGAGGTTTTTAGATGGTGCTTTTATTCTCCTCCCCCCGTCCTGAGACACTTAATCTATGACAGGAGACTGGCAAATAAACTAGAAACTTTCCTGAGGCTGACATTGAGGGGAAGGACCCACAGGGAGAAAACTTATTCAAGGTGAACGGAACCAAGATAATGGCAGGTATCCAGGTAATGGGTACATCTGAGGCCTGAAAGAGGAGGTAGGTTTTCAAGAGCATGGCATGGAAGGCTTCAGGCGTTTGCCCAAGCTCAGGACTGGGTCCTGGCCTGTGGTCCACCACCAGATGTGGCCCTGAGCCTGAGGTGGTCAGGCACATCCCCAGCCCCTCTACAGACAGGAATTTGAGCCAGGTCACCTGAGATGTAAAGACAGAGGGCATCCCCTTTCCCACAGGGAAAATCAAGGCATAGCCACCCTCCCTCCAACGGCCAACGTGGGGGATGCTGTTTTTTGGAAGGATGCTTGAGCAGTGACTGAAATTCTGTGGCAAAGCAAGTTGGTGAGACTGGTTATAGAATAATCGCTATGGGCAGATCTCATAAAGTGCTTTTGTCCTGGGGGCGTGCAGAACCTGAGGGACAGTTGAGCCCCCGACCTGAGTGCCCTCAAGCCTGGTGTGCTGGGTCTCACTGATGGACTTGCCTTCCAGGGGATGCCTCCTCCACCATGGTATCCTTCCTCTGCCCTCCACAACCCCCTTCCCCTGGGGCTGAGAGCACATGGCATCTGCAGGAAAGGTACAGTCCCCCAAGAGGGCCTAGCTCCTGTGCCCAGCAGGGACATTACTCCGCTAGCCCTCCAGGGTAGAAAGATGAAAGTTCAGATTTTATTACAGGGTGGGAGCATCACAGAACTGGAGAAGGGACTCCGTTTTCTCCTTGACCTGGCGACTCTGGTTAGGGGCTCCCCTGCGGAGAGGAGCAGGTCAGCCTGGTAGGAATGGTCTCCAGGCTGTGCACATGTGTGCTTGTGTGTACAAGCTTGAGTGTAGGGGCCTGTGCACATGCTTGGACACATGTGCCTGTATGTGCTTGTCCATACATGCCTGGGTGTGTGCTTTTACACATATGCCTTGGGGCGTGGCCTTCTACATGCCTGCCTGAGTGTGTGTGTGTGTGTGTGTGTGTGTAAGTGCCTGAAGGGGTGTGTACTTCTAATGTGTGTGTGTGCTTGTATAGACATGCCTGAGAGGAGTGTCCTGAGTGTGTGTGCTTGTACATATGTGCCTGAGTTGGTGTGCATGTTTCCTGCCTGAGTGGATGTGTGTGTGGATTTGTGAGCCTGCATATGGGCATGTGTGTGCTTGTGCATACCTGAGTGGATGTGTGTGTGTCTTTTTACATATGTGCCTGGTGTGGGCACGTGTGCTTGTGCATATGTGCCCGAGTGTGTACATGGACGTGTATGTGTCCTTGTATTCAGGTGCGCTTGTGGGCATGGACTTGTGTGTGTTTGTACATGCGTGATAGGGACAGGGGAGATCTCCCAGGACAAGGCACCTTGGGTGGGGACCACTGTTGGGTGGCCCTGAGGGTGCAGTCTGCTCACTGCTGAACGCCTAAGGTGGGCACAGCCTGCCCTGATGCCCAACGGAGACTGCAGGGTTGACGGTGAGCGTGCACCACGCCGTAGGGCCTCCAGAGCGTCCCTGTAGGTGGGGGCCGGCACTACACTGCATCTCTGCAGGTGCCCCTGGCAGGGCACACCTCTGGGGCCTGAGTCTCCTTGACCACCTGCAGCTCTCGTCAGTACCGCTTCAGGCCCTCCTCTGGCTCAGTGGGGCCTACCAGGCCTTCTACTTCTTGACCACCCTCCTGCTGCTGTTGTACAAAAGTAAGTGGGGGGCGGGGCAGGGTAAGTGCTACAAACGGGAGCAGGACTGGGGTACTGCTTGACAGATGTGGGTGCAGGAGCGAGTGCTTGCTGTACAAAAGTGAGTGGGGGGCTGGGGCAGACGTTGCTGTACAAACGGGTGCAGGGGGTGGGTGCTGCTTGACAAATATAGGGGCCCCTGGCCAGCACACTGCTGGACAAAAAGGAGTGCTGCTTGACAGATGTAAAGAGGGCTACAGGTGGGAGATGCTGCTCTGCGACAGTGAGGGGCACTGTGTGGTGACCAGCCTCTCTCTCTGTATGTCCTACCCCAGCTCAGGAATTCAGCTACCCACAGGATCGCCTGGCCCTGGACCTGGCACTGCTGGTTACCATGGGGGTGCTGGAGACGGCCGGGCTGTTCTTGGGTATGAATGGACGCAGCTGTCGCTGTCTGCATGGTTCCGAGGGGAGTTTCAGGGAACTGACCCGTTCAGCCAGCCAGATGTCCAGAGCTTCCCTGCAGTATAGGGAGCGGTCCCCATCATCTGGAAACCTGTTGCAGACTGGTGATGTGGGACCTGGAGGACTCCTAACTACTACCCATTACTGGACTCCTCTACCACCTGCCCTGGTGCCCAAGAGGAGGACGCTTCAGTTCTGCTTTGATTGTTCAGAGTCTCTGAACTAACATGGGTTACCCAGGGTCATCGAGAACACAGCCTGAAGCCTTAAGACTGGTTCATTTGCCAGTGTCTGCTTCTCCCAGTCCTGGCCTCCGGTGGCGAGTTTCCACATGAGCACTTCCTGGGCACCGGCTGGCTCAGGGCTCACACACTAGCTCCTGTCCCTCCCCAGCTCCCCAATGACTTTGAGGAAACTGAGGCACAGCCTTTAGTATCTGCGTGCCTTTGCCCTGACCCAGCCCCTCTGGGCATCAGTGTGTCCAGGCCACTGCTCTCAGATATCCACACAGGACCTTGCAATATGCCGCAGCGTCCAGTGGAACTGGTTACCACGGGAGTAGGCTGGGGATCCCCCACACTGACCCAAGGACTGGGTCCACTGTGGCTGAGGAGTCTGCCAATCCCTTGAGGAAACAGGTCCCTCCCTGCCTTGTTCCTTCTGAGCCTTGTGAATGTGGCTAGTGGGCAGTCCTTGTCCACGGTGTGGTTGCTGCAGGGCTGCCCCCTGTGAGATGGGTGTGAGGGTTGAACCTGTGGGAGTGGGTTGTTGTTAACCCACCTCTGCCCCGGGGCAGTGACTAGCCAGTGTCCTGCCCTGCTCACACCCTCTCTGCTTTGTTCCCAGGTACCAAGGGCAACCTGACGGAGGCTGAGGGGCTGCTGGCCACAAGCCTGCTGCTGACAGTGGGCTCTGCCCTCCTGACTGCCTACTTCCTGCGCTGGCAGACCCTGGTACTGTGGGCAGACACAGCCCTGGGTGCCATGCGCCTGGCACTCCACAGCCTGGAAGCCGTACTTCAGATGGTCACTATCGCCACCTTCGTCAGCTAGATGGCACCCTGTGTCTGCACAGCTCCCCGGCCATCAGCTGGCACATGACCAGCACGCCTCACGCCTACAGGAAAGGCCAGTTCGCTGCTCTGTCATGCTTGTAGTTTTGGGGGGCCGAGGGGCCAGCTTGAGTGCACGGGGACCTGTGTGTTAGGGCTGGCCAGTGGGAAGGGTCAGGAGCTACCTGGGGCTCAAGGACTGGGCAGTGTCTGTGGTGTGTCCTTCCATAATGGCTGAAGGAGGGCTTCTCAGGACAGGAGTCCTGACCAGTCCCCAAGCAGGTGCTGCACGTGCCCCAGAAGTGTGAATGCAACTCGCAATTGTGTGTGCCCTTTGAAACTGTGGGCACCCCTCTGGAAGTGTGGGCTCGTGTCCCACTGGGGTAGCCTGAGAGTCCCGGAGTAGGCCGTCTTTTCACAATGTATTTGTAAATAAAGATATTTGTACCTCTTGAATTTCTGTGAAGCTAGACCGCCACCCACCCCTGGGCCAGAGCCCCTCCCCCATGCCTCTCTGCCCTGGCCTCCAGGCACCAGCTGCTTCTTGAGGTCACCTAGACTGCTTCTCTGTCCGTGGGAGTGGACGTGGGGGACACATGGAGGCCATGCCACTTCCTCGTACCATCCTTACTGTCAAAGCTGTGGGTGGCCTGGTACTGTTCCCTGGGCCTGGCTTGGCTTTGCCTCTCATTGGGCAGGCCTGTGATGATGACCACATGGGTCACTAGGCTGGACATCAGGAGTGCCAGCTGGCTCAGTGCCCACAATCCATTCTGAGGCCTCACCTTCCCTGCTCACAGGGTGGGAAGAGGCGGTAGGAAGTGCACCTGGACCTCAGACCAGGGTGATGAAGTTGCCTGGGGGTCCAGGTGTGGACAGGGCGTCAGGTCATTGACCAGAACCCAGAGGCCAGCTTCCTGCCACCCCACCCTCCACATTCTTGGAGATTCCCCAGGGCAGGGTGCCAAGGTGTCTGTCAGCCCAGTGCCAGGCTGGCATTTCCCTCCTCAGGTGCCGGCTCTAGGGCACATGTACCGCCTTGCCTGCCCTGCTGGGCCCCCAGCCCTGCCCCCAGGTGCAACGGCTTAGCAGCTTTTTCAGCTACAATCTGCCGAGGATTCCTGTCTTCCCCTCTGCTCACTACCAGCAGTGCTGTCCCCCAGGGTGCTGTCCCCCCACGGTGCTTACCTGGCTCTGCCTGTGCCCTGAAGGGCACCAGTTCTGAGGAGTCACAGCAGCCAGGGTGGCAGGGGTCCCCAGCCAGGCATGGAACCAGATGCCCACCTCCAGATTCCAGCACACCTGAAGGGGACAGCTATCCAGGAGAGACCCAGCCCTCCCTCCCGCCCTCCTGCGCTCAGACCTGGCGCTCAGGGACAGTGCTGGTCACAGGTCCCTACTGTTCTCAAGAAGCTCAGGCTGGAGAGGAGCAGAGCAAAGACTGTGGGGCTTCAGGGTGGTGGAGGGAGTTGCCACTCCCGGGCTGCAGGGCTAGGAGGCTCTTGACCCTGGCCAGTCCTCCGAACCTATCACAGACCTATGCCTCCGCTTGAGTAACCCTGAGGACCTTTTGGACTAACCGAGGGACCTGGACTGGAGTCCGGAACTCCGGCCTGCTGGGGTCCTGTGAAGCCCAAGGCAGTTGCCCACCCTACTGCCCCTCTTTGCTGGGCCGCACAGGGCCCGGCCCAAGGCAGTGTGGACCACACAGTCGCCCGCCCTCCTGGAACATCCCTTGCGGGGCACCAGGATGAGACCCGCAAGGGCGCGGACGCGGGTTTCCATGGGCCGACGAGTGGGGAGGAGAGCCTGGTGGAGCTCCGAGGGGTGGGGTCTGGAGCCTGGGTGGGTGGGGTCTGGGGCGGAGCGAGGTCTGGGGCCAAGGTGGGGTGGGGTCTGGAATCTGGGTGGGTGGGGCCTGGGGCCCAGGTGAGGGCTGGGTCTAGAGCCGGGGCGGGGCGGGCTCTGAGGCCGAGGTAAGGGCAGATGGGGCGGTGTGGCAGTCAGCCCGGGCCCCGCCCTCCGCGCCCGCAGCGCTGCTGGTTACATTGTAACCTGTTGCTCAGGTTCTCGCCCCGCCCCGCCCAGCGCGGCCCGCAGAGACTAGGTTCTGGGGCCCCGGCGCCGACAGGCGGGTGGACGCACGTACTGACCGACAGACCGACCGACGGACCTGAGCAGGCCAGTGCCGCAGGTGGGTGCCCGCCAGGATCAAGCGCGCGTTTTGGGGACGTGAGAGCCCAAGTCAGTCTCTGTGGTTTTCCGCCTAGAGTTTAGGCAAAGGGACAGAAGCTGGCCACTGGACACGGAGGGCAGAACCTCAGTTTCCCTGGGTAGTGACGGGGCCGGCGAGGGCCACGGGATGCAGGCTGTAGAGGCGCAGAGCGTGGGGCAGAGGCGCTGCCGGCCTCCCTGGGCGCTAGCATGCCCGGTTCCTCGGGTGGCCACAGCTCATGAAGAGATTTTTATGCCTGTGGTGGGTGAGTCACCACCCCTTACTGGCCCCCTCCCAGCCCCGGAGGACCCCTGTGTCCAGGCCAGAGGGTGGTGCGTGGCCTCAGGACGTCCCCCATTCCCCTCCAAGGCCCCCACTGCTCCGTAATGGCACCGGAGCCACTCACGTAGCTAGGATGTCAGGGTACACTTCCTGGGCGTCCGAGCCAGAAGGAAACCCAGCGGGAAGCACCAGGCCTGGGTCAGGCCCCAGCTCAAGGCTAGGGTGTGGGCATCCTGGAGGAGGGGACAAATGGCTGCCCTTCAAGGATGGGTAATCCTGAAGGGACTTCTGGGCATCCAGTGTTTGAGTCACCAGGCTTCTTGGTCTTGGTGCCAGGGCGGCCAGGCTGGGACTGTCCCTCCACAAGGATGTCTCTGCTATAGAGACAGGCCTCATCCCTGTGACAGACCCCTTTGTCCCCATCCATCCGCGGTCCGAGGGAGCCTGGTGGAACACCAGCCTCTCAGCTCCCCCACCCCTCCACTGAATTCGGCCTGGTTCTTCCCTGCCCTCCACCCTGTAGGGTACCGGTGCCCTTCCAGGCTGCTGCCCTCTGCAAGTGGGGTAGGCAGGGGCTGAGAGGGACCCTCCTGGCCTCACCCGCTCTTGTGGGCGGCCCCTCAGCCCCTGAGATAGCACGGACCGCAGTCCCCCCCAAGGTCACTCTGGAACTCAGGGCTGGAATTTGAACTTGGAGCTTGTCCCTGCGCCCTCCCTGCCCCCCTTGCCCCTCCCCTGTCCTCTTCCCACTGACTGGGCACCTGGCGGGCCTCCCTCTGCACCCGGAAAACGGGCTGCAGTGGAGCCGAAAGGCAAAGTGGCCCGCCCTCCCCGCTGAAGGCACAGGCCTTGCCACCTGTGGGCACTCCCACCCAGGTACCCACCCTGCCCCGCCCCAAAGCTACAGAGTTCCCAGCTCCCAACAGGAGGGGCATGTGTCCCGCCGGGGCCTGTCGTGTCCATGCTGCAGGCTTGTGGCTGCACTGACCTGTCCATATTCTGTCCTGGTGTGTGTGTGTGTGCCTGGACACACGTGCAATGCCCTGGCTGAGCCCGCCAGGAATCCTATTAAGCAAACACTCAGGCTCACTCACCTGGGTCACCCACATTCCGGACATTCTCCATGCATAGATGGGCTGGGGAATCTGTCAAATCCTTCATGGGAGGGGGCAGCAGGGTCACTTCACCCCCTCCATGCCCTTGAGACTAGAATCCAGGTAAGCACAGAGGGTGGGCTTCCAGCATGAAGTACCCTCCCTCCCTCCTCTCCTGTGTGCCCTGGAGTTCCCGGGGAGCTGGCCACTGTCTCAGAGGGACAACCAGGGACCTGGGTCTCTCACGGCATGTTCCTGTGGGGACAAGCCAGCAGGCCTGACTCTGATCATACCAAAGCAGGGCCTGAATCAGACACTGTCCAGCAGTCAGCCGCATCCTCTCAACACAGAGCTGTGGGGGCCAGGAGAAAGGCTCGAGGGACCTGTCTGCTCATGGAGGGGCAGAGAAGTGGTCACCGGTGGCCGTGAGGGGAGGCCTTGTGCCCCTTTACCTGTCAGGGAGACATTGTGGCCTCTGGGCCAGCCCTGGTCATGCCCCCATTCAGCTTCTGACAGCCTGCTAGGTGCCCAAAACCCCAGGAACCTCATCCTCCATGGCCTCAAGCCCCTTCCTGGGCCACCTCCCAGGTCGAGTCTCCCAGTCCAAGAACGATGTAAGGGCCGGACAGAGTCTGCTCGAGTGGACTTAAGGTCCACACTCAGCCCCGAGCTGTAGGCTGGCGTGGCAGGAATGGGACACTGGAGACTGGGCCTCCCTCTGAACTCTGCCCTCGGCTGTACCCTTGGGGCCCCCTCCTGCCCCTCCGCATTCCAGGTTCCTCTAGGCCCCAGGACCTTTGAACAGCTGTTGCCCTGCCTGGGACGCTGTTCCTCCCCTGGGGGCATCTTCTCAGCCCAGCTGGCTCTGGGTGTGGGCATCATCTGTCTGCTCCTTCCCAGGGTCCCTGGGAGTGTGCAGCAAGGTAGCATCTCAGTGACAGCCAGCTGGGCCCTGCGTGAATAGACGGTTCTGGGGCCTGGGGTGGCCCAGGGGGCAGGCCAGACCTATGAGGACCTGGCCCAGGCTGCCTGGAGAACCCAGCTCCTAGCCTTCACTAGGCAGCTGGCTGTTGCCTGGTTCAGGTGAAAAGCCAAGAGTGCTGGGGTCCAGGCGCTGGATCTGGGGGAGGGGAGGTGGGGTGGGTGAGGAGAGATGTCAGCCCCAGCCTCTACCCTCCAGGTGCAGCCAGCACACACAGCACCGGATCAGCCTGCCACCTCCAACCCACTCAGCCACCAACCGTGTGGTGGCCGGTCCCAGCTGGTCACCTGCGAGGACACCATGAGCCAGTCAGGGTCCGTGGGCTGCTGCCTGGGTGCCACCAAGTGAGCCCCCTCCCCACCCCTGCCCCCCAGCAGTCCTGGGGGTGTGGTGGCCTGCCCTCACCAATCCCTCCCCACAGTGGTAGCCTGGGACGGTCCGATGGGGTGGCCAAGATGAGCGCCAAGGACCTGTTTGGTGAGTCACAGGCTGGCTGGACAGGGGAAGACAGTAGGGAGGGGGCTCAGTCAGGAAGGGGTCATAGCGAGGAGGCAGGGGTGACTGTCACAGGCCCACTCCCCAGGGTTGTGCTGGGGTTTGGCTAGGGGAGCTCCCACCCAGGCCCTCTACTGAGACAGGCAGGTCAGTCCCCGAGGGAGGGATCTCAAGGAGGTCCCTGGACCCTTGTCAGTCAGCTAACACCTGGACAAAGTCCCTCCCCAGGTCAGCCTCCCCCCACCCCTGTAAGAAGAGAGGCTCTGCTAATAATTCAGGAGCATCAATATTGATTCCCAGCTGCTCTCAGCGGCAACCCGATCGCTGTGGGGGTGGGGCTTCATCAGGACAGGTGTCTGCCCCTCTGAGGTTTCCTCTGAGGGGGCTGCCCCTGCCCCTAGAGGGAACCACTAGGAAGTGTGTGGCCCGGTCAGGTCCAGAGGACTGTGTATTGGGCTGGGCCAGCTCCCATAAAGTGGGAAGAGAGAGTGGGGAGCCTGGGAACCCAGCCCAACACTGTCACTGCACCCCACTACTCCCTGCTCGGGGCCCTAACCTCCTTTCAGCTCTGTCTCATCCCAAATTCAATCCTTCCCTTGCACCCTTGCTCCCCAAGCTGTGCCTCCTCCTCCCCGCTCTGTCCCCCAACTCTGCATTTTCCCTTTCAGCTCTTTCCCACCCCATGTTCTGCCCCCACTGTCCCCTATCTGAAGATTCTGTCCTCCTCTGCCTTCAGCTCAGCTCCTCCCCCACCTCCCCAGCTTGCTCCCCAGCCATGCCACTTCATCTGTGTCCAGTTAATAAAGTAGCTTCCCTGGGATCCTGCCCGATGTCGGGGTGGGAGGGGGTTGAGCCCTTGCACCCTCTCACACAGAGCCCCCCATGACAGTCAGTTCATCATCACCATGGCCAGTTCTTGTCTGACCCTGTGTTCTCCCAGGAGCTGTCCCCCACTTGCATCCCAGGGGCTGGGTCCCCAGACATGAGGCTTACCCTGAACTTCCTGGTAGCTTTGAGGGGCTGCCCTCTCGCCTCACCTGTGTGCCCCTCAGGGCCCAGTCTCGTTTGGATAGGGGTCAGGGGCTGCCCTCTGGGGCTGAGTGACCATGTGTCCTGCTTCAGAGCAGAGGAAGAAGTACTCCAACTCCAACGTCATCATGCATGAGACCTCGCAGTACCACGTCCAGGTGAGGCCAGGTCCACAGCCGGAGGTGGGGCAGGAGACTCAGGCTTGATTGTCACCTGCAGAGCAAAGACCAGGGACAGGGCCTGGGCCGTCTAGGCCAGAGAGACTCAGCTGCAACTTGCAGGGTGGCCTCTCTACCATGAGAGTCTACATTCTAGGGGGACAGAGGGGACCCCACCCTGGGAGTTCACATTTTCAGGGGACAAAAGGGACTCCACCCTGAGGGACTACATTCTAGGAAGACAGAGGGAACCCCACCCTGAGGACACAGAGGGGAGCACACCCAGTGGCCATTCCCCCACCCCTCTAGGAGAGTGGTGGAAAGAAACCGAAACTGGTCAGATAGCAGAAGGACAGAGTGCCTCCAGGAGCTGGGATCCAGCTGGGAGCACAGCTCTGAGTGTGGAACAGGCCTGCTGACTCGGCCTCTTCCCCTGGGCCAGCTGGGAGGGTCCCCTGTGCTGGGTCAGGGCTAGTTCACTCTTTGAACTCCGGAAATGAGGTTCTGAAATGCCCTTCCTGCCCTTGGGAGATGGCTGCCACTTCCTGGCTGTAGTCCAGGCCTCCAGGCAGAGGCAGGAAGGGTCGGAGGGACCTGTTACTGTCCCTCTGCTTCCTCTGGGTCATGCTTCCCTCGGGTCAGGCTAGTTGCCACCCTCCACCTTGGCTCTGGTAGAACAAGTCCTGGTGACTGGGATTGGGTGTGTCCGGTGACTGGGCCCTCCCTGCCAGCTTGGGTGGGGCGTGTGGGTGGCTGAGCTGCTGACTGGTGTCAGCCCAGTGTCCATGCACAGGGCACAGAAGGCTGGACGGGCCAGCCCTCATCCGCTTCCCTCCCAGGCAGTTCCAGCTGCCTGGAGCTAGGGTGAAACTTTGTCCTGTGAGGACATTGGCTTGTCTCCTGGGCCTCCCAAGCCTGGACTTTGGTTCAAGCTGCCGAGCTAGGCTTGGCCATTGTGGAGGCCACAGCAGCCCACAGACCCAGTGCTCACACCTGGCGGAGGGAGCAAGGGGCAGCCTCTTGTTGCCCCTCCTGGATGAGGAAACTGAGGGACAGAGAGAGTTGGCAGTGGGAACTTCCCTAAGCCTGGGGTTGGGGGTCAGGGGACAGTGCTTGCAGTGGGGGTCACAGTTGGCTTGCTTGTGCTCTTCTTTTGAAAGCATCATACAGCATTTGATGTTTTTAGGAGTGCGGTTCTCCGAATTCCAACTCATACAGACGCGCAATATGAGTGTAGTGGTGCAGTGATTAAGTGCTTAGCAGCTAATCAAAAGGTCAGACCTCAAAGCCACCAGTTACCCTGGAGGAAAAGATGGATAGCTGCTTCCATTAAGGTCTTGGAGACCCTGCAGGCAGGTCTGACCCATGTCCTAGATGCTGAGGCAGCCACTCGATGACGTGTCTGCTCTGCTTGAGGGCGAGGCTGCTTGTCTGCTCCCGCAGAAGCCATGCTTGCTTCTGTGTGTTTCAAAGTTGACAGTTCAATGTCTGGGTCTAAGATCTGTTTGGGTTCATTCTTGTGCGTGACGTGAGGTGGGGCGCACAGCGTAGGGAGGTCTGTAAGGAGGTCTGTAGTGAAGGTGAACGGCTCTGCGGGCCTCTTCTTTCCGTTGATCTGTTTCACGACAGTTCCATTCCTTTGACCCACAAGCAGCATCGTGATCAATAGAGAAAAGGTTGACGTTGTCAGTGGTTGCATTTTGCTTGGATCCACAGGCCATGCTTTGGAGCAGCAGTCAAGAAACCAGATGGTACATTGTTGTAAGTGCTCTCCAGTCAGGTACAACTCATTGTGACCCTGTGAATAGCGGATCTGAACCCTGACCTGTCCCGTGCCAGTCTCATAATTTCTGAAACACTCGAGCCTATTGCTGCTGTCATTGTCAGTCCATCTGGTTGAGGGTCTTCCTCCTTTGCCAGCCCTCTACCTTTCTAAGCATGATGTCCCTCTCTAAGGAATAGCCTCTCCTACCAACATGCCCAGAGTATGGGACATGAAGCTTTGTCACCCTCGCCTCTGAGGAGCACTCTGGCTGCATTCTCTCCTAGACTTACCTGTTCTTTTGACCATTCATGAGTCCGTGAGTCCTCTTCAGTGCTCTTCTCCAACACTAGACCTCAAAGGCATCAATTCTTCTGTCATTCTTTTTCATTGTCCAACTCTCCAATGCACATCAAGTGATGGAAAAGACCATGGCCTGAATCAGATGCATCTTGGACTTCAAACTGACATCAAGCTAAAAGAACTGAAAACCAAGTTAAAGCCTCAAGTTGCAATAAGGAGAGATGATATGGGAAAAATCTTGAATGATCCAGGAAGCATCAAAAGAAAATGGAGGGAATACACAGAATCACTCTATGAAAAAGGAATTGGCCAACACTGAAATATTTCAGGAAGTGCCATATGATCAATAACTGATGGTAATGAAGGAAGAAGTTCAAGCTGCCCTGAAGGCATTGACAAAATAGAATACCAATTCTCATGTCTCAACTAATAGACACAACCCCATATGAGATCTCTAGTCTATGCCAAGAAAATAGGGGGACAGCTGCCTGGCCAACTGACTGCAAGAGATCCATGTTGTTGTTATTAGGTGCCATTGAGTACCACTCACGGTAGCCCTATGAACAGGGGATCTGAACCCCATCCTGTCCTGCACCATCCTCACCCTTCCTGACACACTAGAGCCCATTGCAGCAGTCACCGTGTTAGTTCACCTGGTTGAGGGTCTTCCTCTCCTTCACCGACCCTCCACCCTTCCAAGCATCATGTCCCTCACCAAGGAATAGCCCCTCCTAGCAGCAAGCCTGAAGTATGTGAAGTGAAGTCTCATCATCGTTGCCTCCAAAGATCTCTCCAGCTGCACCCTCTCCAAGATGTATTTGTTTGTTCTTTTGGAGTTGAGAGAGATCCATATTTGTTCCTACTCCCAAGAAAGGTAATCCAACAGAATGTGGAAAATATTGAACAATTATTACATACAAGCAAATATTACTGGAGATCAGTAAAAAATAGCCAGAACAGTCAGAATTTCAAACTGGGTTTAGAAGAGGCTTTGGTACCAGGGATATCACTGCTCATGTCAGATGGATCCTAGTTGAAAGGGAATACTAGATGTACATCGACTATGTAAGGCCATTTGACTGTGTGGATCATAACAAACTATGGCTGACATTGAGAAGAATGGGAATCCCAGAGCACTTAATCAGGACCAAGAGGCAGTTATATGAACAAAGCAAGGGGCCATTGTTTTTGTTATGTGCTATTCACAGTGACCCTATGCACAATAGCTCTGAATTCTGACTTACCCTGAACCAGTTTCACTGTCTCCAACACACCTGCCCCCATTATGCCAGTTATTGTGTCAATCCATGTCATTTGGGGGTCTTCCTCTCCTACATTATCCCTCCACCCTTCCGAGCATGATGTCCTCCAAGGACCGGTCCCTCTTGGCAGCATGCCCAAAGTATGTGAGGCAGAGCTTCAAAATCCTAGCCTCCAGAGAGCAAGTTGGTTTCCTTCTCTCCACAATAGCCCTGTTTATTCTCTTGACAGTCCATGGTATGTTCAATACTCTTCTGCAGCACTACAACTCAAAGGCATCATTCTTCTTCTGTCATCCTTAGTCATTGTCCAGCTCTCTGATGCATAGCAAGTAATTGCGAAGACCATGGCCCAAATCGGGGGCATTACATGGTTTAAAATTAAGAACGGTGTGTGTGTGTGTGTGTGTGTGTGTGTGTGTGTGTGTGTGTGAGTGAGGGTTGTATCCTTTCTCCATGCCTATTCAATCTGTGTGGTGGACAAACCATTTGAAAATTTGGACATTTAGGGGAGCTCTGGTGGCCTAGTGGTAAGGAGCTGCAACTACAGTCCTAGAGGTGCACGGTTCGAATCCACCAGATGCTCTGCCGGAGAAGGAGGGACAATCTCCTCCTGTACCAGTCAGATCTGATTTGACGGTACACTCACACAAAAATAATAAAATTTTTTTTTAAATTTTAAAAAAATGAAAATTTGGACATTATGAATACGAATGTGGCATCAGGATCAGAGGGAAACTCATCAACAATCTGCGTTATGCACATGATAACAGCCTTGTTTGCTGAAAGTAAAGAGGCCTTAAGTGCTTGCTGCAGAAGATCAAAGAATACAGCCATCAATATCATTTGTATTGCAACATCACGAAGACAAAAATCCTCACCACTGGACTGATGGAGACAAGACTGAAACTGCCAATGATTTCATCTTACTTGGATCCACAATCAACAACCTTGGTACCAGCAGTCAGGAGGCGAGGAGATGCGTTGCACTGGGCGAGCCTGAAGTTGGGCCTCTCCTGATTTGTAATGACACCAGGCAAATCTGCTGCAAAGACCTGCTTCAAATGTTAGGGAACAGAGTCATTGCTGTAGAACGGAGGTACACCTCAGTCAGGCCATGGCATTTTCAATCAATCACCTCGTCTGCGTGCAGAAGCTTGATGATGTATAAGGAAGAACTGGGCTATGAATTGTGCTGGCCAAGGCTGCTCGCGGCACCATGGACTGCTGCTAGAAGGCTGAGCACATCTGTCTTAGGTTAAGCACAGCTGAGGTCCTCCTTAGAAGGGCAATGGACTGTGTCTTGTTACAGCAGACGTGTTGTCAGAGATTACCAGTCCCCAGAGAAAGGAATCATGCTTGGAAAAGTAGAGTCAGTAAAAAGAGGACTTTCAACAAGTTGGAGTAATGCAGTATTTACAGCAATGCATTCAAACCCAACAGCGATTGTGAGGGGCCGTGCAGACCGGCATGTTTGTTGGCTGGGTTTGTGAAGACTGGGTCAGCAACAGCTCCTTGGTATCTAGCAGCAATGATATTTTTCTCACTGTAGCTTTGCTTTCACGGTGCCTATATGATGCAAACACTTCATGGCTACTAACCAAAAGGTTGGCAGTTCAAACCCAACTGGAGGTGACTCTGAGGACCAGTCTGCAGATCTCACAACCTTGAGAACC